GGCACCGGGGAATTCAGGCGGTTTCCATACCACCATCGTTACTGTGCACCAGGTTTGTATCATTCATTCCTATTTCACTAAACCGAATGCCACAAGCGCATTATTAACCTTAAGGTACAGGTATAAAACGTAGGGAGGAAATAAGATAGCACGTGATGGTCTCCACTGCGTAGTACCATTGATGTGACTCACTCGTCTCAATGGTGCATATGTTTATTAAATCGTACTCATTACCACCATTTGTACTGGGACTCTGAAGACTTAGCTTCGCATACGGATACAGATATCCATAGGTATGTGGTATACACTGTACTGATAAAAATAAGTATAATTATAGTGTAATCTGCTCAAATGTCAAGCAGTCACACCGGAGACACAATGTGGCCACCTGTTCCATTATACTTAAAACCCAAACAACCGGCATTAAGCTGACGGACCACCACAAATTTTAGGTGCAACGTTTTGGTGAACTGTAGCTGTCGTATTCAAAACCACACACTAGACACCTGAGCAAGCAGAGTCTTGAATCACCACGGCCGAAGCAACTAACGAAAGAAGGAAAAGGGGCCGAAACGCTCTGGACACTATTCAAAAAGTGTGTTCCATAAGGCACAGACGTAATGGCCTTGATCCATCGAGGACGCACATCCAAGCATTTGCAGGCTGCGGTGCTTGGTGTGACAGACGTGACTGGAAGTTGCGGCAGGTACTGCAACAGTAGCCATGTTCGATAAGGTAATCGTTTATAAAACAACGTAATTTACCGGGAAAGTCAAGTCTTTTCTAACCACTTAACCACTCGGAAGATTTGTAACGGCACACGAAGTGCGCCCACATTGGACCACCCTTAAAATATATTCCCCCTCATCATTGCCAGCAGTGGAGTCCTTTTTAAAGTTTGATCATGCGCTATTTACACGAACTTCCCCGACTTCCGTTGTTCGATAATGCTAAGCACCATGGTTCATTTATAGTGCTGTATTTACAAAACCCTGATGTAAATATTCTGGTTGTCTGTTGTCGTACCAGAGAAAGCGGCCACACATTCCTCAAAATGGAGAACAGCTGGCAACATCATACTGTTATTTGCTTCAGTGTGTCTGAAATCGAGGTAAAATCCGCGCTTTCCAGTGATACGTTGTCTCAATCTTTCGTGACACAGCTCAGTTGTCCTCTGGGGTTAAGCCACCTATCCGTTATTGTAGCAAGTGTGATGAAAAGACTATTGCCCTTGTGCGTGTTTAGCTGTTCTGGTGTAGATCACATTAGTCCGAAGGCGGTAAAACCCATCCACCTCACCGTTTGCTTGATTGTTACAGTGAAAAAATTAACATGCAGTTTCCCGCATTTTAGAAACAAGGCATATTCCTTTCTATTTACAAGATTTCAATGGTGCTGATCTAGCGAATTATAATCCAAGCACTCTGTCCTCGGTTTTCTCCAAAGTCACGTAACGTATAATTGCAGAAGAGCTCATGGGTTTCCTTGAGGGAAATCACATCACAGTGTTCCATCAGTATGGATTGCACCGGAATCTGTCATGTACCACAAAAGTATCGCTAGCCCGGACAACCTGGAAGAAGTAAGTGGATGTCGCCTACCTGTATTTTTACAGAGCTTTTGATCACCTGGACCACTGCATTCTCTCAAAAGCTTCGAAGATATGGATTTGGTGAACCCGTGTTGGGTTGGACAAACAACTTCCTCATTAAACTCCAGTTGAACGTTAGAGTCCGCATATGCATCTCCGGCTCGATCCAAGTTTCGTGTGGTATGCCACAAGAATCAGTAATGGGAATAACTGAACCATGTTTATTCCTAGTATTCAACCACGGCCTTGTTAGTGTGGTCCATTCCGATCTCCTACTATAAGCGCACGATAAAAATATTCGGCATATTATCAAAACATTGGACGTTCACGCGGCATTGCAGAGAGGTTTCGACAAAGCCTACACATACCCATCCGAAAACCTGCTCCATTTTAACCTGCCGACAAGCGAAGTCCTGAGCATACGCTATCCGTGTACTCACGGATATCGACTGGGAGAGCAGCGGTTACAAACGCTACGCAGAAAAACCAGGAAGAGTAATTGAGCAGGATGATCTGGGCTGCTCGTACCGGCGGAAAAGGCATCCGAATGAGCCAGTCAGCATCTTGGCTTCCTACTAAGGGCGTTTGGGAAGTTCTAGTCATCAAAGTTTTCGCAAATGATGAACGCCTACTTGAGGCGTGGTCGAAGCCTGGCGATATTGAGGCAAGAACAATGATGATGCGCTCGTAGTTCCATAATGGTGAAAATAGCTGGAAGATTGTTTTCCCTCATCTACCGACGCATACTGCAACACCTGCTATTGTGCATCGATGAATACCTGTGTCAGCTATGAGACCTCCTCTTGGTTTACCTAATACTCACAAATCCAACTCGTCCCTGTCGCGATGTGTTGCATGTCAGCAACAACAATAAGCCGAGAGGCCATAAGCTCAAACTAGTTAATCACTATGGCCAGTTTACTTGTCGATGAAACGTTTTCTCCCTTTGTTTATCCAGCAAATATACCGACCTTCCTTCTCGCGTTATTCGACCTAACAAACACTTTCTAAAAACGTCTTGACACACACTATCCCACTTACATTGTGTGATATAGTCCGTTTCAATCAAAGAAGGGAATGATTCAAAGCAACCTACATGCTTACCCACCTTTTCCTTAATCAAAGTGGTGAGGAAACTTACATCAGGTTCAGACGAATGACTTGTTGAGTCCATTAAAATCGTTATTTATCTTCATTTTCATGTTTTTCTTGACTTCTTGCTTCATAACCCTTAGTCTGGTCATCCTACTTGCATTGTTAAGCAATCGCTTATTTACTCGCCGTAAATTATTTTCTATTGTGGCGCAAGCATCTGTGCTGAAAAGGTTATAATTTGCTGACGGAATATGGAGCGCTCATTGGAAATAAAGCTGGTCACCGTATTTCCCGGCTTAGATGATATGAATATGGTCACGTCATAAGGCCTTAAAAAAGTATATATTTGTCCCATTTTGACAAAATCACCATTATATTATTCATTAGTGTCATCATGAGCAGTCTGCGTGACTGTAACATAAAATGAGTAAAATTTAGTGTGCACCTTTCCTGACGCAAACTTTGTCTCATGCACGTAATATCTTAGTGCGTGTGCGCCAAAGATATATATTTTCAGTGGGAACTGGCATTTAGCAGTAAAAGCACTCTAACTCCTCAGGCAGATGCATACATACTATATGACATACTTCAGCAAGTATATGGTATAAGCATCTTATGTGAGGAGAAATTGTCCGAATGCTGACCTGCTTTAGAAGGGGCTGATCCGGAAGTACATGATGCATACTAAATAAAATCGCTGTTTATGGTATGTACGCTAGAGTACATCAGAACCTGTTTATCTACATGTCGCTTGTGTTGTCTTCTTGGTCAGTAATTGAACATTCACGATTCCTCCTCAAGATATCTAGCTATTGGTATTTGCCTGATAAAATCGGTGAATATCTAGTACAGATCAGAGATTACGGTCTGATGTGTGCTTTTAATACATTTTGGCTGTTTGGTGGTCATTCGATTTGTCCTTAAGTAACTGTGTTTTTATTATTACCATAGAATATAGTAAACCCCCTACAGTCATACATACGGCAGTTGTAAAAATTCTGTGATCCTTCGCGGACCGACTAGCGAAACACTAGAGAAACAAGTTCCTCAGTGCGACAGGGTTACAAGCAGCAGCTGTTCACCTCTAAAGCCGCACTGCATATTCACTTCCGTGCACGTGTGATCTTTGTAAGGAAAATTAAAGTTCTATTGCCTTGGGGTTAGAAACTGAATGCTTATCATGGTTTACGATGTTACTATTCTATATCCACTTTCTCCACCCAAAGCTACTCACAACGATCAGCAGTTGAGTCGGCAAGCCGTTTAAGTAGTATTCTCAATATCACCTCAATTAGGAATATGATTTGAGTTTTTATCTAATCAGTGGGCTTCACTGCGGCTCATGTTTATGCTTGAAATCGAGTGGGCATTAGAGTCTTACATCATAGACATTCTCAGATGACATGCAAATGCGTGCTGGTGATGGAACATTTGTGGAATGAAAACGCACAGAGTGAATGTGCTATAGATTCTTCATGCGTGCATTTTAGAGCTGCGAACACATGGGCATCTAATCTTTATCCTGACGACGTAAGTTCACGCATCGGAGAGCAGTGATATAACAATACGTCATCACCTAGGCGGTATAGCGCAGGCATGTTTGATAGATAATAGTCGTTCGCTAATCACCTGAGCACGCAATAGGAGAATGGTGTAGTAGGCCCCTTGAACCGCGAACTCCACTTACTAAACCATCATCGTCAGAGAGCTTCATATGATATCTCTTGGAATTACTGAGGTTAAACAGTAGTGAATGTTAGGATTTGGATATATTTTCGTTGGAGCTTCCTTGCAACCACTTCTGACACAAAATAGTTTATAATGTTTTTACATGCTGACGGCTGAGAAGAGGAATTTCCTAACTTAGTGGGCCAACCTTATCCTCTGCATCCCCGCAAATGCAGGGCAACAGGAGCTGAATAGATCAGTGATATCACAGCTTGTTGTTGAAGCACGGCGACTATCACTTATCCCCATTGGTCGAGTACTCTTACCTACAGACGCGGAATCGTGGAGTGGCGGATTTCAGCCCAAAGGGGATAGCTGAAATACTTGCTGTTGACGGATTACCAAAAGATAGAAAGATGGTGCAATGCTTTTCTCCATGTCCAGTGCCTGTGGCACATTACTATTAAAAACATTCAGCAAACGGCTAATATGTAGTTACTTACTTCAGATCATATACCTCAAGTGGAAACAGACGTATTTATAGGGTATGGCTCATTTTTTTAGGTTAAACTGTTTAAATATGGTCCGTCACCGTAACAATGGAGCACATCGTTTCAAATGTTTTTGCGATATTTCTTTTGTGCAGGTTAACCAGATGGCCTCGAAATTGCAGGTCGCAGATCTATTCTACTGTTCCGCAAAAACTGGTGAAAATGTGGAGGTCGCTTTCAAAAGGGCAGCAGAGTTGGCGATTCGTTCGGATCAAAAGGGGAAATCGAAATGTGTTATTGTTTAAATGCATTGCATTAGTGTGGGTATTTTCAAATGTGGGTCAGCGAAACAATCGCTTTCTCTACTCCTTTGTCAATTGCCACACTGATTTTCTTATAAATGTTAGTATTATGAGTGATCAGATGTCTACTTGAAAACTAACACTAATTGCACATGTTCAGCATGAAGGAAGTGCAAAGAATGTTTTTGTGTCTTTCATTTTCAATATTCTTGTCTAGATATGTTTCAGAATGGGTGTTTTTCTCCCACTGCAGGGAGCTACCGAATCGTCTTTGGATTCTCTGTCGCACTCGATTGGATGTTTGATGTGTATTTGAGCTGCCTTTATTTACTTGAAAGCAATTATTCCTCAACTGTAAAACTTGACGGGTTTTCTTATTTCTCTGACTGTTCGACGTGTTAGAAACAGGAAAAATTGGACAGGTTGCTGCATTGTCTTCTCAGCTAATCCCGGGGTTCTTGTCATCTTGGGAGGAATGTGTCGTCAGTGAATGACCACGTCCAATGATATTCAGGTGCATACACGCTTTGGAAAATTATTATACGTAGCTCCTACTTTACCTACTCGGGCTGCGTCGATAGTTTGCCCAAAATATTCTTAGCTTAGCAGAAGCTGATTCATGCTCGCACGATTGACAGATGAACTGTGAGTCGTTCATCCCAAGAAGGTGATATATATGTGATTACTTGGATGATCTTGCACAGAGACGACAGTGAAAGTTATTCATTTGCGTTTGGATCAACAGGAAATGTCTAGTGGATCTAACTTCATCTCAGCGGCATCGCAGCCGTGCATTGCGAATAGTTTTATGCTCAACTCCGGTAAATGCCTCATGAGTCGAAACGGGATGAATTTAGTTGTGAAGTGAACGACACCAAAGGCTGTCTGTAATTGACGTTTCATTAAACAGGGGCTGCTCGATTGCACTTGGTAAAATAGGTCCGAATGATAACTAGGGCCTGAGGGGATCCAACAACGAATAGGAAGAGCACAGTGATATAAAATATAAGCTATTTGCACACGCAGTATACAATTTGTCGTAAACAAAATAATAAGATTTTACTCGTAATGATTCTCTGCGTCCTGAATGTGGTCAACCATTTTCTCAAATGCAATGGTTGACGGTGACCAGTAAGGTACGATTGCATGACACCGAATTATTCCACTATTTAGATGCGATCTTTTATCTGCTATGGTCACAGTCTGTGACAGCTATGCGTGAGCATTCTACTGCAGGAGTGTTTGGCAGTTTCAGACACTCAGCACTGACGCATATGAAACACCGTTTTTATTGGTCGGTAAGGCAACCTGAAGCTAAGTGGCACACGAGTGCAAATGAATCCTAGTTGCGTGCGTAGCCTGAAGACTTCGTCGCCAATAGGTCATTCAGCCAAGTGGAATATAAATCGAAAGTTATGTCACATTAGATAGAACGTTCTTGTAACTATACTGATTAAACTCTCAGCCTCGTTAAACGAGAAACGGAAAACATAACCTAAAAGAGTAATCGTAGTTGATCTGTAGTATCTCAGATATAGCTTCAGGCGGACAGCATTTAATGATCCCTCAGAACAAACTTTCATCGGTCCTGTGCAACTGTAAAAATGAAATTCTTAGAAAGCTTGTGAAAACTCGTGATTGCTTAGTGTGTTGGTAAATTCCTCAACGTACTCAAAATCCCGGACCACACTACAGTTGACGTACCAAGTAGGCCAGGAAAAAATGTCCATTATTTCATACGACGAATTTATAGTACCAGTGGTGGTTAAGTTGCAACAGAAATCCACTGAAGTAATTGTAAGTTCTTTACAAAAGTTTCTTGGTTACAAATTATCACATTGAATTTGATTATCTGCATAGCTTTTTCTAAGTGAGCGCTTCCTTTGTAGAGCCATTGTAAAAATCGTTGTAAAATGAACCAAAAGACTTCAATTTTTTCACACAAGTTTTGTGGTGGCGCTCAGTTTGGTAGGAAACAGTAGTTTGATATGTATCCGAAAAATTGTTTGGATCGTAATACGTATGGTATTGTGCACTGCTAAGAGCGAGTATTTTGAAACAAGCTACAAATGAGTCGGAGCACATGGTGTATATCTAAATGTCATATAAATTAAAGCTGTTGCGGATAACAGCGTCGGATTGTTCCAGGTACTGTGTGGTTAAGTTAAGAAGTTCAGTACCAGGCGGAACAATTTTAACTGTGCAAATCTTACATTAGTGACTTTTAAATTTCAATCGAAGATAAAATTACGGTGTTCATGCTTGCCACTGCATTCGTTGATCTGAGGCATATTTCTGGCTTGGGTTCCAACGTTGTGTAGGGAGCGTACTACTGCAAAGGTAGTTTATTCAAATCCTAAAATGAGTGTAATGCATCGAAAGAGCCACGCGCTGCCAGGTTTCCTTCTTTTAAGATTATCTTGACACACTCTAATTTTGACTGCAGATTATCAACATCTATACTCGCTTGCTTTAGTGAATTCTGATCATGATGGAAGATGGCCGGGCCGTGTAATATTGAGGAAAATATCTTTCATGCTTTTCTCTCTTGGTGATTGGCGCAAGTTTGGCAGTACAGTTTGGCAGGTGCCATCGGAAGCCGGAATTACGGCTCCGGAATGCAAATCGTTAAAACGACGGTATCTCTGCGGAAAATCTAGACGTCTGATAGTGCAAGATGAAACGTGTGAGACGATGCGTTCATAAATGAATTGATGAAGTTAGCAAATGTATTTTTAAAAACGTCCAGTGTTTACTCAGCTTGTCTGAACATGTTGCAGAAACAACTGCTTATCCTGTGTGAACTGCAGTTATTTTGGTTAAAGGTCAAAGATCAATGGTGCATTGCGGAGAAAAAACGCCAACGCTTAATACGCCCCGCCGGATGATCGGTTGTGGGTGAGCAAAATGAAAGCACAAATAGCAATAGGAACTATTAAACAACCGCAAGTTGCAAACTTGCCTAATACAGTGTTCTTGTCTGAGCAGTTCACACTTGGTTTGTTGTCTTATCCAAGGTTATCGTCTGCGGTTTCCTGGCAAAAATGGAGGTGGTTTTGTTTGCTTTGCTTTTCTGCTGTTTGTATGGGTTATTTTGATTATGCTTGTAAGTTTTCATCCTTGTAGTCCACAAATTACATAATACAGCCTGGTCCGGAGAAAGCACCAGATGTTTTCGCCTCATTGGGGCTGGTAATTGGTTCGCATTCCTTCGGTCCCCAACTGGGGATCGAACCCATGAACGCAGGAGACGGATGCCAAGTAGCCAGCAGCTTAAGCCACTGAGACATGGGGACATTAGCTGGGCTACATAACTTGCAATCTAACTGCGATATAGCACCACCTATCTTCCACTGGCACTGACAGTGGCTAACCTGAGAGGTGATCATGTCCTCTCACTAGACACTATGTCCATAGCATTTGAAACTAAGAAAGGCGCTTTATTTTTTTATTACTCGTGAGTAGCAGAATTTTAGTTGTAATTTTGTTGTGGTATTCATCCCAGTAGTTCACAAGCTACATTGCACGTGAGTTGCATTATCGACACATGCTTTGAACAAGGCTAACGGGGAGGCTGAAATAACGGCTTCCGAGAGGGTATTCTACGTGTGGCAAACAGGTAGCGAGAAGAAGTGTCTTCGACACTCCAACCGACTGTATTGTTCTGCCAATTTGAGATGATGACCTTTCAGTTGGTTTTTATGTCTCAGCGTCACTATTGATGGAACGGGTGATTAGTGTTGCTTAGTATTTGGTAAGGCGTGCTTGCGTCATGGCGCAAATGATAAAAACACGTTCGCTGAAAAAGCTAAACACTCTGTGACCCTGTTTGGATGACAGGTGGCGGAGCCCCCCAACCTTTTTGGTCGCCCGAGATTACTGAATCTCCAAGACCGTAAGATCCCGCTTCAGGCATGTGTACTATTTATGCATGGCATATTAAACATGAGGGCGTATGTAAGCGGAACGTATTTGGCGGAAACTAGGCGGTTCGAATTGACCGTAAAGTCCTACGATTCTGATCCTCTTCTTTGATGCTTTTTATACTGCTTCGAGCAGCCAAAATCTCCCTGTACAAACACACCGACATCCTTTTCGAGAGAACAGCGTTGCAGATCCTGTTCCGCCAGCTTATATGTGTGAACCATTCGGTGCCGTAAATGGAGCACTCGACCTTTAGCTACACTGAATAAAAGGCGATTTTGGACCGGCCATCCATACGTCGTTTCAAAGTCGCTTTGAAGCATGATAGGGTCATCTTAAGCTCTGATCACTCACCAAACTTGATATCACCGGCTTAGAGTACACAGTTTGAATTAGTTTGGCTCAATAGCTCGTTTATGAAGACCAAAAATAGACGGGGTCCCAGTACCAAACCCTGCGGCAAACCGAATTCGACGTAAATGCTGTCTGACGTGGATTTGCGTACTTTCACATCAAGACTCCTGTGCGCGAGAATGTGCAGATCCACCAAAGGAGAAGGTCCGCAATGCCACATCTTTGCAGTTTAGCGCCAAGGATATGATAGCCCAACAAGTTAAAGTACTTAAAGAAATCAAGGTAAGCCACATCAACCCCTGCACCAGTGTCCACATTGTCGGTCCAGCTGTCTCGTGTTAACAATAGGTTGGTTGTGCACAACCGATTCTGACCAAAGCTGTGTTGCTGCTGAGCAATGTGTCCAAAAACGTCCGGATAAAACATATATGTGTCGGCAATTACAACCTACATAAAGTTTGGCAAATTATGTACAGGGGAAATCACAACAGAAGTTGTAGGTCACGGTAGAACTAAATGATGTACGAAGCATTTTGTACGCACAATTTTGTTTTGAGGTGGCAGATATCGATAGCTTTCGAAATAGATAGGAGATGCTTCCGGAATCCGGGTGAGAAACGTTCAAGGACAGTATAAATGACAAATCTTTTCCGTTGGATAGCAATAAATTCCCGCTCTATTCTACATTTAACCATATCATGACTGAATTGCGATGAGGTACGCAGGTATATCCCTTGCTCACTTCGCCGGAGAAGTGTAGCACGCTTGTCACGACCGCGCAATCGACAGCCAAGGAGTGCCGCTTCACTCTTCATGTCACATGCGTCGTGCGTCACCCGAGGATCCACATGATGTACTGGTGCATGCTTTAGTAGTCAAGTGCTCGTTTACAATGCAACGTATGTCGTGTTCAGCATAGATGCTGTAAGGTTATTCGAATTTCATTGCTGCCGTTTCAACACACTTAGTGACACGGTAAGTGAAGTGATGGCATAACTCGTGGCCTCCTTGTCCAAATTCAGAAAACTTTTCGTATAGACCAAGATATCGTCCAGGAAAATGATCACAGTGTCTTCGACGTTAGCACACAACATCTAG